CCCGCCCCGCCCCTGCCTCTACCTGACCCCGACGCGACCCCGACTTGACCCCTAATCCTCCGGCCGCGTCACGCTTCAGACCCTGGTTCCACCCGGCCCGCCCCGGCTGCGCACCCTCGTAGCAGCAGATACCGGCCGCGGCGCAGCGGCCCCCGCTCCCGCATGGCTTCTGGCCGGACTGGCAGGGCGACGGCAGGTAGTTCTCCTCCTGGCAGCGCAGCGCCTCGGCCGTGCCCACGAAGCAGCCCAGCTCTTCTCCGCAGCAGATGCTGGGCCCGAAGCAGCGCCCCTTACCCCCGGGGCCGCAGGGGAGGCACTGCCGGGCCGAGCGGGAGCAGAGACAAGGGGAGGAAATGCATGAGCGAGGCAGTGATGCTGGGCGTCGGGTCCAGGGCTCCCCAAGCCCCTCTGAGTTAGGGACCAGATTATGGGGAGCTGGAGGTTCTGGGTCTCTGTGGTTCTGTCGGAAAAGCAGTCACCAGCTCGGAGTCGAAATCTACGAATTCCTTGCGCTTTCAGGCAGTGCCCTCAGCAGACTGGGGTGGGGTCAGCGCGGGGTCAGTGCGGGGATGCGGGTGGCGGGGAGTCCCTCCCAGCCCTCCCTCGCCGGTAGAGCTGAGGGTTCGGGCGCGCTCACCTGGCGCACGTCGAGGTCCAGCGCGGCCCTCTTGCCGCCCAGCGGGCAGTTCTGGATGTAGCAGGCCGAGGTCAGCGCCAGGAGGCCGAGCAGGCAGCAGGCTAGGCTGGGCCAGGCCATGTTGCTCTGGTGGAGTCCGGGGGTTGGCGGCTGGCGGCGGTCTCTCCACCAGGCCCTTTTATGTCTGGGGCCCGCGCTGACAGAGCACCCGTTAAGAGTGAGGCCGCATGACTGGTCACAGCGGATCGCTGCGGGTCAGGCCCCGTTGCGCCCAGAGCGCCCTCTCATTTGCAGGGGCCAGGTGAGGGTCAAAGTCACCGCGTTGGCTAATTGACCGGGCGCTGACAGTGGCTGCCACTCAGGGGGAGGGAGGAGGCTGAGGTGACTTGGGCCCAGGGTGGGGCAGAGAGTGTGTTTGTGCGTGCATGTGGGGGGATGTGTGGCCCAGCCAAGGACTACATAGTCGAACTCCCAATACCTCACTGAGTATGTTGGGGTAGGAGTGTGTTGAGGACTCTCCAGCCTCTCTAGGTGGGAAGAGGCTCTGGCAGGATTCCCCACCTCCCCTCTTGACCCTGCGTTCAAACACACTGTTGTCTGGTTGCTAGCGAGGTCTCCTCTTCTGAACCCCCAGTTCTTGGACATCCCCTCCACTTCAGATCACATCTTCATTTCCTCTAACCTGTGGTGGAAATTCAGTCTTTCCTCCAACTAGGAAGTAGGCAGCAGTCAGGGATGCTTGTGGCAACAGAAATGGCTGATCTCGCATTACATCACTGCTGTCAATTGTGCTGGAACCACTCGTGGTGCCCAGATCACCAGGCCTGTGTCTCAGGGGCTTCCGGGTGAGTTGCATCTACCAAGCTTTTGGTTTGTGTCCAATACTTTACCACTTAACCACTTGCCTCCTTATCACATCCCAGCTATTGCAAACGTCTCTCTTGTTATCACATTGATGTTATGGGAGTTATTGGGACTGTATTGGGATGGCCACTAGGTCTTGTTTCATAAAGCAGCTCATGTATGACTAAATCATAAATTTGTTTAAGTGTTTTGATACCTGGATATAAGTAAAATTTGTTTCCTTTGTAATCCCTTGTTTACTGTTTTATGCATTTGAAAACAAAGTTGTTTTTTTTTTAATATATCACAAAATGAAAATTAAAAAAAAAAATGAAAAAGAGACTGGCTTGGTGGAAGGGGGGTAGTCGATGTCATGAGTGGGGAGATGGGCCACCCAGATGCCCTTGCAGGGAAGAACTTGTTGCTCCAGCCGCTGGGACTGTGGTCAGCAGAGGGGCTTCAATTGCAGCGCCTCCAGGACTCCTCAACTGCAGAGAGCATCCTCCTACACCCCACACGCGCTTCCTAAGGGCCCACATCCAATGGCAGTACCGTTGTGCCTCAGTGCAGGGCAACTCTGAAGAGCCACTTTGGTGCCAGAGCTCCCAGTGGGGTGAGCTGAGGCCCTCATCATATTCTTCTCCCTCAAGCACACCCACTCCCACTACCATTCCCTCGGTTCCACAGGTGTTGACCCCTTAGGTGACTCAGTAACCAACATTTTGCATGTTGAACTCCTCAGAGGTTGCTCCCTGGGGAGCCCAATCTGCAAAACATACAAGGCCACTGTCAGAGAGACCACACTCAGCAGGGTCCCTCTCTGTGTCCTCCCTACCCTAGAGGTAATTAGAGATTAGAATAATCCTAACTTCTCCTGCCCTCACATGACCCCTAGAGTGAAGTGCAAAAGCCCCTGGGACCTGTGTTCATCCCACTGCCTCATGCCAAGCAGGTCACAAAGCCCAGCTAACCTCGAGCTACTAGTGTGAACAGCCCAACCTTGCAGAGGAGCTGGTCAGTCAGCAGCTCTTGTTTCTCCCTGAAATTAGCTCATTGTCATTGCCAGCCTGGAGGTCAAGGGCTTATTATCACCAGAAAGGCCCCTGGCACGTTCTGTGGGCACACTGACCTTGCACAGCCAACATGTGCGCATAAATTACCTCAGTACAATATCCCCCACATTGTAGGCCTGCAGTATGTAACCTCTTATGGTGCTTTCTCTAGTTTTGACTTGTTCATATGGACTTCTGGGTAAAGGTGGGTGGGGACAGTCATACAAACACTGTCTTATCTCTCTTTGAGATTTCTTTCAAGGTTTTATTCTATAATAAACCAAAGTACCATTACAGATGCTTGGGAAACCAGTGAACAAAACGAGCAAAAATGGGGCGGGGCAAGATGGCGGACTAGGCAGAAGGATTGCACAGACCCTCTTCAACAAAGAAAAGGGAAACCAATTAACACAGACACAGAAGATA